GTTCTCCTTTCTCCACATTCTTGTCAGCATTTGTTATCTTTTGTCTTTTTGACAATAGTTATTCTATCTGGGTGAGATGATATCTCATTGTGGTTTTAATTTTTATTTCCCTGATTAGTGATGCTGAGTATATTTTCATATACTTATGGCCATTTGTATGTCACCTTTTGAGAGATGTCTGGAAGTGATTATAAAAAAAAAAGAGAGGTTACTTAAGATAAGGAGTTCCCGCTGGGATTCAACATTTAATTTCCACCATAGATATTATTTGAATGAAAGAAAAAGAGAGATGGATTTAGAATTCACTCATGCATATAAGGTGATTATTCTTCCAAACGAAGTTTCGTTTTATAACTTTCAATTTCTATTATTTTTATTTTGGGATATTATATGACTTTTTTTTTTTTTTTTTGAGATGAAGTCTTGCTGTCTCGCCAGGCTGGAGTATAGTGGCGCGATCTCGGCTCACTGCAACCTCCACTTCCTGGGTTCAAGCGATTCTCCTGCCTTAGCCTCCCAAGTAGCTGGGACTACAGGCACGTGCCACCATGCCCAGCTAAGTTTTGTATTTTTAGTAGAGATGGGGTTTCACCATGTTGGCCAGGGTGGTCTCAATTTCTTGACCTCGTGATCTGCCAGCCTCAGCCTCCCAAAGTGCTGGGATTGCCGGCATGAGCCACTAAGCCTGGCATTACATGATATTTTTTAGAAACATACAATCACAATTCTCCATTTTTCTAAACAAGAAGCAGAATTTTAGTTCTTGTCATTTCTATGAGACAGTGTAAACACTGCTAAAATATTTTGAGGAACTGTGCTTAAAGTAACTTTTAGAAAGAGAGATTAAGGAATCAAATTTGTTACATTTTGGACCTATACAAATAAAGTAGGAAAAAAGATATATATGTGTGTATTCACACACACACAGACACATACACCCACACAGAAAGAATGAGGCTATTATTAAGGCAATCGATATTAATACTCCTAAAAGAGTCAAAATATTTAATTGTGTGGGAAAATTAAAATATACATAAAACCAAAGGATAAAAAGAAATCTAAATCAATATTCAATATTGTTATATCTAAAAACAGGCATTTGAAATATAGATACTAAATTTTAGTTATTTGAAATAACCTAAAACTTTATTCATATAATAAAAATAATACATATATGTGATTGCCTGTAAAAAATGTTGTCTATACTACACAGAAACTCTAAAGATCATTATTATGATAAAAGCTGATGACTACACATTTTAGATTTAGGATTAACTACGTTTGCTGCCCTTATAAACATAACTCAGATCAGCCAGGTTTAGTGGCTGAAACCTATAATTCCAGCACTTTGGGAGGCCGAGGTGGGTGGATCACCTGAGGTCAGGAGTTCCAGACCAGCCTGGCCAACATGGTGAAACCTCACCTCTACTAAAAATACAAAAATTAGCTGGGCATGGTGGCAAGCTCCTATAATCCCAGCTACTTGGGGGAGCGCTGAGGCAGGAGAATCACTTAAACCTGGGAGGTAGAGGTGGTAGTGAGCTGAAATTGTGTTACTGCACTCTAGCCTGGGCGACAAGAGCGAAATTCCATCTCAAAAAAAAAAAAAACAGGCCGAAGTGGCAGGTCGGGCGCGGTGGCTCACGTCTGTAATCCCAACACTTCGGGAGGCCAAGGTGGGCAGATCACAAGGTCAGGAGTTGGAAACCAGCCTGGCCAATATGATGAAACCCCATCTCTACTTAAAACTCAAAAATTAGCCGGGCATCGTGGCAGGTGCCTGTAGTCCCAGCTACCCAAGGAGGCTGAGGCAGGAAAATCATTTGAACCTGGAAGGCGGAGGTTGCAGTGAGTCGAGATCGAGCCACTACACTTTGGGCTGGGCAACACAGCAAGACTGTGTCTCAAAAACAAACAAACAAACAAGCAAACAAAAAACCACCAAAACAGAAACCACCCCCACCACCAAAACAAATATAACTCAGATCTAATAATTTTTTTGTGTGTGTGTGACAGAGTCTGGCTCTGTCACCAAGGCTGGAGTGTAGTTGTACAATCTCGGCTCATTGCAACACCACTTCCCAGGCTCAAGTGATCCTTCCACCTCAGCCTCCTGAGTAGCTGGGATGATGGGCACATCTCTGTGTCTGGTAAATATTTTGTATTTCTGGTAGGGACGGAGTTTCACCATGTTGCCCTGGCTAGTCTTGAACTCCTGAGCTCAGGTGATTTGCCTGCCTTAGCCTCCCAAAGTGCTGGGATTATAGGTAAGAACCACAGTGCCCAGCCCAAGATCTAATAATTTCTGGTAAGTCCCCATTAACTAAAAGTAACTTTAAAAATCCTTTGGACTTACACTACCTGGTAGAAAAACCTAGAATAAAGCTGTAATAATCAAGACACTATGGCATGTGATGCAGGACAGAAAAACAGATGGAAGAGATTATAAAGTCCAGAAACAGATGCACACATATATAGTTCTTTGATTTTATGACAAAGGTGATCCTATAGAGTAGTATGGGAAAGAGTGGTGTTTTCAATAAGTTTTGCCGGATCAACTGGATAGTCACATGTAAAAAAAATAAATCTTGACCCCTTATCTCACACCATATACAAACCAACTCTAGTTGATATAAACAACCAAATGGAAAACATCAAACAATATAGCTTTTTTTTTTTCTTTCCAAGATGGAGTCTCACTCTGTTGCCCAGGCTGGAATGTGGTGACGTGACCTTGGCTCACTGCAGCCTCCATTTCCTGGGTTCTAGTGCTTCTCCTGCCTCAGCTTCCTGAGTAGCTGGAATTATAGGCATGCACCACCACACCCAGCTAATTTTTGTAGTTTTAGTGGAGACAGGGTTTCACCATGTTGGCCAGGTTGGTCTTGAACTCCTGACCTCAGGTGATCCACCCGCCTCAGCCTCCCAAAGTGCTGGGATTATAGGCATGAGCCACCATGCCCCGCCTACAATAAAGGTTTTGGAAGAAAGCATAGGAGAATCTCTTCATGATCTGGCTTGAGCTAGGCAAAGATTTCTTTAATAGAATTCAAAAGTACTAATTATTTAAAAAATTCATAAATATGACTCCATTAAAATTAAGAACTTCTCATAGAAAGATAACATTACCAATGTGAAAAGGAAAGCCACAAAGTAGAAAATTCTTGTAATACACACATCCACCAAAAATTCTATATTCAAAACATATAAAGAAATCCTTTAGGCCGGGCGCGGTGGCTCAAGCCTGTAATCCCAGCACTTTGGGAGGCCGAGGCGGGTGGATCACAAGGTCAAGAGATCGAGACCATCCTGGTCAACACGGTGAAACCCCGTCTC